CGATTCGTCAGATTAAGGTTAGCCCTCTACTAACTCGCCAAATAAGCACACAAGATCTGAACAACAAACTGTTCACGTGCTCGTCATGCACTGGCATGCGTAATTGTTCGTTACGCCATTTTGTTTTTGCCGACGTTGGGTTATACCACGGTTTCTAGTAATGGAAAGGAAAAATAAACTATGAGACTTGAAAAAAAAAGTTAAATCTGAATTAAAACTGTTCCTCTTTTTTCCCCTACTATCTTCCAGTCCACGGAAGTTGTATATATTTATAAGATAAATAAAATGTCATATTAAACAAATCAAGCCAATTTTCTCGAACATATTCGAACGCGAAAATAAAATATGAAAGGTACAGACAAAGTTACATCCGAATATTTATCACATGAAAAATAAACTGTTAATATTAACAACAAGCAACGACTAGTTTTATTCAATACTATGGTTGACAGCCGACACGTGAACTTAATCTAATAATTCGGTAAGATCAGTAAAACACACCTTTGACAATAAAATGTAAGTGAGAAGTAGCGAATGGTGGAAAGCTCACGAGAAATTGAAATGCAAGTTACCGGTACATCTGATACCTATAATTCATAGCATTTATACAAATACACGCAACGTACAAGATATTAGTTAATAAATACGAATACACCGTACACGCAACGTGGAGTTATTAGTTAGCGCTACGGTGTCAGTAACAGTTGACTGAACCTGCAACGTAAACCGACAAGACATAGGATATACCTCACGTCGATGTCAACCTCTTGCACACAAACATAAAAATTGACCCTGCTCAAGATCGTAATGCTGATCAAAAATTTAAAAAAAAATAGGACGAATGTGAATTGGGACAAATGTGAAATGGAACGAATGTGAATTAGGACGAATCAACTCTTGGGAGGAATCGACTTGTGGGACGAAAGTGTTGGAACGAATGTGAATTGGGTTGAATTGACTGTGAATCTGCCGCCGTACACAAGTAGTTTTTGTCGAATTTCCCATCCGTAAATGCGCGATCGCAATGTTTTATAATATTCGACATAGTCTATAACGTTGTCAGTTTCCTGGCAGGATACTCTCGGTGGTAACAAACTGTTTGACGATATTATAAGCTGTCTGCTTTGAAACACCATATGGATCTCCAATTTCAGCAAATGACAGTCCACAAAAATACAAATCGACAACTCTTGTTCTCACTTCAACTGGTTTTTCGACTCCTTGCTTCTCAATCGTGGTGCTTAAACAACTTGGACAAACGCCCATTTGTAGACACGCAATCGACACGATGACCGACCAAAAGTGAATGAAAGACAGACGCGCCTCAAAGTCTAGGTGTACCGGACTTTGTAGCAAAAATAGAAAACATTGTGGGCAATATCTGTCAATCATTCATCTGATTTGCAGCCGATGTTTATATTTCTAGTTACAACTTATGTAAATTTGAAAACAAAGGGTGTAACCTATTGTAGTAGGTTATCAACATCTCGCACTACTTCAGCGTCAAATTAGTGTCTGGAATTGCTGTAAATTTATTCTATTACAACACTACCGAATGATGGATTCAGTGGTCAAAGAGGTGAAAGAGGATTAACGCAATTTTATGAGAATCAATAGGTTAAATTGGCTGAATATCTTACTAATGTTCAAATAAATGTCTTCGGTATAAGTAAACAAAAATACAAATTAAATAGCATGGCATAGCATTATTAAATTAAATAGCATACATACTGTGGAATACTTTATTTTCGCTGGAATTAATTTTCGCTGAAAAGGCTTTTTGGGCGTTTTGTATGGAATTATTATTTTCACTGATTTTTGATGAGTGTAATGTGAAATATAGGAAAAAAAGTATATTCACTGGATTTTATTTTCACGGAATCATCCCTCTAGCGAAAATAAATTCCAAGCGAAAATAAAGTATTCCACAGTACATTATATGTTGTTGGAACTTATATTCAAGTCTAATAATATACATTTGTAATGAATACAAATCATAAATCTCATCACAACTTATAGAGTTTCGTTCCAAAGTCGATTCGTTCAAAAGTCAATTCGTAAGAAACAAACTATTGTCTCAAATCAACCTCAAGTAATCATTTCATGGTTTGCACCGGCATGTTACGTCCCATTAGCACACTTTCCTAGGTGCGTTTATGAATAACCTTTCTTGTATTTTATCCATCTGTATTCAGTGACATACCTTCATTGTTTATTTAAATCGTCACATGGATGTAAACAATAAATTCAAGTTTAATATAAACTATTACACCATGCCAAAAAATATGGTGCGAATGACCTGATTGACCTGCCACCCCACGATTAATACAAGTAAATATGGTGGTGCTGGGTTGTTATATTTCATGGTTTATAGCAAGCGTGTCAGTAACCGCACGTTGATGTCACCGTCACAAACACAGAAATTGACCCTGCCCAAGACCATAATGCTAACCAAAAAAAATGGGATGAATGTGAATTGGGACGAATGTGAATTGGAACGAATCGAATCAACTCGTGGGACGAATGTGAATTGGGACAAATGTGGACTGGAACAAATTGACTGTGAATCCTCTGACTTGGTCTTAGTTGGTCCTGGGATCAGGATCAATGTTGTATAATGAAAACCTTCAACAAGTATATCTTGTAATAGGATATATTTCATTATTGTATTTTCATTAACATTATTTTGAATGTAATCAAATGAGAAATGTCAGTTTTCTGAACTGTTGGAATAAAGCATTTTTTATTTTTATCTTATCATTGTATAGAATATTATTAACTTTCTTGGAAGAAACTCTACAAAGACAGCTATTCCGACCATAAGATTCCTTTTATAAGTTTTTTATTAATTTTGTCATTTAAAACAAGTCTTTCATGACTAAAACACACATAAAAGTACATTTCCAAATCAAGTCTATGACAACATTTGTTTTTAAACATGTGTGCATTTCTATTCATTCTAATCATATCATTTTTATTCAGCAGACTCCAGAAGATGAAGACCTTAGTCTGAGTACTAATAGTCTGGATGACTTTAATGGTTTTGATTTAGCTCTGTTATTTGAGCATACATCCCTGAGAGAGGCAGCTTCAAAAATCAAGTAAGATATACTCTATTAATTAA